GAAGCCAGAGGGAGCAGTCTCTCTTTGATTGGAGAGGGAGACAGACCTGGCTGCTTGGGAACTCACCCAGGGGACCTAGAGGGAGGCAGGGCTGGGGAAAGGCCTTAGGAGCTGGGAAGCCCTAGACCAGCAACTCCCCAGGCTGCAGGGCCTAGTTCTAGGCCCACCTAGGTATTGGGCTTGCAGAGGTGCAGCCGGAGGGTGGGTAAAGGCAGCCAGTCCAAACCCCTTTGCCTATGATAAGTGGCTGATACTGCGGTCTGCCCCAGTGAACAGGGGCTAGATGGAGACTGGACAGTAGCCAAAACTGAGGCGAGGTGGGGATAGTGGGTGGGGGTTCCCCAGGGAGGGGAGACCCTAAGACTGAGGGGTTACTGCCAGGGGGCAGCACCCCAGGTAAAAGGGCACTGGGGTTCAGGGAGGGACATGGGGGGCAGAGGACAGGCCGATCACCGGCCTGCAGAGGGCGCTCCAGAGCTGGAACGAGCTAAGTCCCGGAAGTCACCAGCAGGAGGCGCCGCAGGGGTGAGTCCGCTCCTCTACAACTTTACAGCTACAAATCCTGTCTTAACTCTCCCAGCACTAAAATAGCTAGACCCATCCACAAACCAGATTTGTGCATTTTTCTCCCGAGCTTTCTGTAGGGTGAGTCCTGATTTCACTGGTCACTCCACCTTTTTATACTTTGGGAGGGGACATTCATGCTCCTGCCCTTGCACTACAAGGCCATATGGTACAGGGGATAGTACCTTTCCCTTTTCTACAGTTATCCCTCCATTTACAAGGGCCAAAGTCCATTGTACCCACATAGGATTAGATACCTTCCGCTCCTGCACTTTTCTTGATATTATGTATTTTAACAGGGAATGTGTTTTTTTGTACTATGACTTTGGATTCTCCAATTATATATTCCCAATGCGGCAAGGCCCATACCAAGGCTAAACACTCTTTCTCACAGCGTGTAAAATTCTGCCGGTGGTGGGATAAATGGTTCTCCCACCTTTGGATATGATAAGGCTGGGGCCTGGGCCAAATCCTGTTTCAGGGTCAGTGATGCCTTTGCTTGATAAGGCCCCCAGTCCCACTGCCACCCTTTCTTTAGGAGAAAATACAGTGGACATTTCAATAAAATCTCTTGAGAAGTTTACGGTTCCCAAAAGGACTCTTAAGGATGCCATATGAGTAGGGGCGGGAAGTTTTCCAATCAGTTCCACCCACTGTGCAGCTAGGGTTTGTCCTTCCTTTCCCAATATGACCCCTAAATATTTTACCTCTTGCTGTACCAGCTGGGCCTTGGCTCTGCTAGCCTTGAATCCGGCATCTTGGATGATCTGTAACACCTGCTCAGTGATCCTACCAACCTCCTCCCCATTGTCCCCTTGCACCAATATATCAGCAGCATAGGAAATTACCCTCTTTTGGGCTTCAGGTATCAATTCTCCCCACATCTTAACCACATAGGAGGGACAAATTGCAGGTGCGTTATGAAAACCCTGGGGGACCCTTGTAAAACAGAACTGTTGTCCCCTGGAAGTGAACCTAAATTTGTACCAAGACTCAGGGTGCAAGGGAATGGCAAAGAAAGCATTTGCTAAGGCCATTACTGAGAACCAATGTGCCCCTGTGGCCACTGCAGGAACTACTTTTTGGTAGGTTTCAGAGTAGCAGCCGTGTTAGTCTGTATCCGCAAAAAGAAGAACAGGAGTACTTGTGGCACCTTAGAGACTAACAAATTTATTAGAGCATAAGCTTTCGTGGACTGCAGCCCACTGCATC